GGCCAGTCGGGAGCCTTGAGACAGGGGTCAAATGCAAACGGGGGTCAGCCAGAGCGCCCGATCTTGCAGGATCCTGCAGGGCCAGTGTCGCATTGGGCGCAGGATCCTGCAGGATCTTGCAGGATCCTTCGCATTGACCCGGGCTTGGGTACAGGATCTCGCAAGATCTTGCAGGATTCTGCAAGGCCTGACTGACCTGGGTCTGGATTGACCCAGGGCCAGCAGATCCCCGCCATCCTGAACCCAGCAGCTGTGTATATGCCCTCCTGGCCAAGCCAGGAGGGCGTGGCGTACACACCGCCAGCGGGTTCAGTATTGGCGCGGCCAGGGAGTAGCGTATGTGTATGAATCTCGTCGCCCTGGGTGGTACACTGGCACGCTCCAAAGGGAGACGAGACAAGAAGGACGATACCCAACAGTAAATGTGATCCAGAATCACAAAGCTGCGGCCGCTGTTGTGCAGGCGACGGACGCCTCCGAGGGACACCGCCCGCAGGCGAGACGGACCACGGATCCTGATCATAATGAACCGGAACTGATGTTGGTGTTCGTCCCCAGTTGTTTCCGTCCCATGCCTGGAGGCCTCCAAATTAGAGAGCAGGACCATCCACCCTCAGAATCATCACCCCGACACGCGAAGCCGTTTAGGAAACGCACCCAAAGAAGGAGTCGAACAGGGCAGGTCTTTTTAGTAAAGCCCCATGCCCGTGTAGCAAACGCGAATAACAAATCGGGTCCGGGTGGCTTCCTCCCTGGACAAATGAGCGACAAAAAGAAACGGGTCTTACGCGAGATGACACGGCGACCATGCGCGGCGGCTTGCGCGGGCCGCCAGCGCGGCACACCTCATTGGAGACGAGGGCGCTGACGCGCGACCTTACGCGGGCAGCTTACGCGCCAACGTCGGCGAAGACGACCCCGCATCTTCCGTCGCTCAAATTGGGCCGGAGCAGATGGGGTCGGAGGATCGCACCGCATTTCCGGTGGATGGCCAATTCACCGGCGACGTCGGGACGGAGGAATTCCGACTGCGCATCGTGCCGCATCGCTCATCCAACAAAAAATGGCCGCGACCCGCGACCCTCCGACCCCCTTCTACTCCAGCCCAATTCGGAAGGCCTGCAATTTCGACCCCCCCGAGAGCACGTCGCGGCATTCAACCCGGAACGCCCGCGCTGTGTGGTAGCCGCCGCGTCAACGCGCCTGGAACCGACCGCCGGACAACACCGACCTGCCACATCGGGGGGAGCTGTGTTCCATACCCTCCCTGGGGGAACCTATCGTATCGACGCGCTCTCGCGAGGTGCGCCGGTACAGCCCTATACGCGCCGCCATGCTGGTCCTGGGCAGGCTGTGCTGCCGGGAGGGGGAAGAGGAGGGGAGAAGCAGGCTTAGGTCGGGCATGTCCTCCTACAGGCGGAACTTGGAGGACAAATGAATTAAAAAGACAAATATTCAAAAATGGTCAAACAGCATTACCTCAGTGCGACCCTACCTAGAAGTTGGAGTCCCTAGGAAAGCAGCATTAGTTGCTATGCTATGCTATGCTATGATATGCCATGCTATGCTGCGCTATGCTATGCTATGCTATGTTGCGCTATGCGTTGATAATATATGCTAAGTTATGTTATGTCATAATGCGCTGCGATATGCTAAGTTATGATATGATATGCTATGCTATGATATGCTAGGCTGCGCTATGCCATGCTATGATATGCTATGATATGCTACGATATGATATATTATGCTATGATATGCTATGCTGCGCTATGATATGCCATGCTATGATGTGCTTGGCTATGTTATGCTATGATATGCTATGCTGCGCTGTGCTATGCCGTGCTGTGCAGTGCTGCGTTATACTATGCGATGCTATACTAGGCTGCACTCTGCTATGCTATGCTGGGCTATGCTAAGATATGATGTGCTGCGCTATGCTATGCTACGCTCTGATATGCTATGCTGTGCTCTGCTATGCTAAAGCTCGGCGGAGCTAAGATGAAGGTCAGCTAAGCTAAGATCAACCTGAGCAAATATGAAGCTAAGTTAAGCTAAGATGAAATAAACTAAGCTAAGATGAGATAAGCAACGCTAAGCTAAGGGGACGCAACTGGGGGAACCGCGGGGAGGATCCCGGGGGAACCGCCCGGGGCGTTTTCCACTGCCCGGCCCCTTTAAGACAGAGGGTAAGAACCCTTCTAGGCAGAGCCTAGGTAGGAGATCATAAGAAAAATCGACCCCTGACTACTTGTTACTACTTTCGAATACTCCGCCTGTAAAGGGCGCGCCCGACGTAAAGGCAGGCAGACACCGACGAGCGCGCAGGCAGGAGGCCAGGGCCGCCAGGGCGGGCGGGCAGGCGGAAGGGGGGCCGATCGCGGAGACCCACATATGCGACGTCCCGATGTTGTTTCATTTCCCTGGAAGCCCCGACCCGTTCCCCGGGACCGGTTTTTCGTCCTGGCTCGTTGTGTTCACGCTCCCGAGGCCGAGCGAGGGC